ATATAAAAAAAAAGACCATGCTTTATCGATTATCAAAGCCGATAATGGATATCACAAAAAACTCGACAAAACAATAAGGTAGATGTTTGTATTGTAGTTATGTTTATTCAGATAAATTGTAACTAAAGAAAATAAACAAGAACCCATGGGATATAAAAATAAAATAGAAATCAGAGGGAACGCAGATAAACCAAAATTAATGTGAAGTGAAGGGAATAAGCTTCAAAATATTAATCACAATAAAAAAAGGAATGTTTTATGATGAAAGTTTTATTACATTTTGCTTACTTGATTAGTAAGTTTTATATAAAAATTTGATTGGTATCCGTTCGTCTTAATCGAGTTAAATTTTATAATATTTGCTATTTTTTTAATATTCTTTAATGGAAAATTTCATTAGTTAAAAGCAAATATCGTTTTGTATCAAACTTGATTCAATGAAATTATTAATAATGGAATGCTATGATTTATCGATGTAATCATTTATAGAATGGAAAAGAAAATCAAAAAAGATATTCATTGAAAGAATATTAAAAGATACTCCCACAACACATCTCTTATTTATTTTATATTTATTAAATATAAAGAAAACAAATGTAGAAGAATGTGTTATTTAGACTACATCACAGAGGAAATTTTAGTCTTCTTTGTCATCTTGAATTTTTCATAATGATAGAAACTCCTTAATTAAAGTGTAAATTAAAATTTCGAGTTGGCAACAATAAATGTAAACTTTAATCAAAGTACTTCTATTGTTCAACATTTAAAATAAGTTAATAAAGAAGTAAATTTGAAAGAGAAGACTTTTCATGTTCTAAATAATTTACACAGTCTTCAAAAACTTTATTGCTCACTTGTATTAACTAAATGCTTTTGAAGAAAATAGATGGTGTCCATCAACGAGTTTATTACAGAACTTGAAATTACTCGAGGTTTTTCATCCTCTGCAAGTAATAAGAAGTAATGTTCAGAAAATTTATTGTATAATTCATGAAATTAATGTACAGCTAATTAATGTTACTGTAAAAAAGAAAGAAAAGTATTACAAGATAATTGAGAATTAAATATTGTTATTCAAATAAAATACTGATAACTCGACGACCATGATTGAGTATTTTAATTTTTGAAGGAATTTAATTATTCGATTTTAATACATTAATTTATTGGCATCCTAAGTAAAATCTTCTATTGAGTTTCTCTTCAAGTCCCTTGAGGTTTTCATGGAAAATGTAACACATGCTACAGCTACTCAATGACTGCCTAATTGGGAAAACCTCATAAGCTCCATGTTAGTCTGAAGTTTAACTTCTAAATCTAAGTAGATCCGGGTTAGTTTCACAGGCTTTAGATGAACTCTAGGCTAACAATGGATACAGCTATAATTAAAAACTGTTCTAATCAAAATTGAACATTGAATATTGATTGAAATATTTTCATGGTTTAGGTCGAGTTTTTAATACATATTTTAGAACATAAACTATCTTTATCAATATGATTATTACCCTGGTAGCTAGATCTTGATGATGGACTTGCTCAAATCTTCTTGAAATGTTGGATTCAACAATAAGCCTTTACTAGATGTGAGCAAGATTACTATCAGAATAAAAGTTGTGCTGCTAAAGATACTAAAGAAAATGCAAAATTTCAAAGAGTTGTTGTAATAAGGAAAGATTAATGGCGTTTTTGAAATTGGAGCCCACGAGCAATATCCCTGGGTGAGTCTAAAGCAAAGTGTATAAACGTTATCAGTTGCCTGTAGATATAGGGTTTGTTTATGGAGATAATGTAAATATCTTTATAGTAGCAAACAAAACAAGGGTGGAAATCGATATCTTCTATCTTCAATTATTTTTACAGTCATCTCATCAATAGAAATAATTTAAATTACCTATTAAAGAGTTGTTTTTTAACGTAACAAAGTGATCAAAAAGTCGTATTTTACTAGCACCTACTCATTGTCACCAATGAATATCAACATAAGCAATAAATTTTTCTGAAGACGTTAATCTTCTAACTTTATTTTCATTGAACCAGCAAAGAATTCAAATTCAGTTGATAAAAAATTGCTCAAGTTTGCATCTGAATGGAGGTGAAATCGATGCGATAATTAGAACCAAAGATCAATATCTTTCCAGTTAGGAGCAATTAAATAGAAACCGATAGCTAAGTTGAGATATAACTAATGAGGAATCAACGAAAAAAAACGACCTACGTATATGATAACAATCGTGATGAAAAGGTGTTAATCTTGTAACGCTTGAAAAATCAAGATTCTGATCTTTCACACCTACATCATTTAATCAAGTTTTTCTTTGTTTTGTAATTTTATCTCGTGGATAACTTTATTACTTTCATGCCATTTTTTTATAATAAACATTTCGAGTATTTTTTATTCTTCTATTTCAAGGTAGTACTTTATTAAAAGATACAGCAAATCTCCAAAGAGGCCAAAGAGAATTGAACTTTACAGTACTTCTAAATTCAAGCATTATTTTTGATGATTAGTTGAATCAAATGAGTTTTTTTTAGATGATTAAGGCTGACTTTTCTAGAATGTCACGTCATTTTTATATCATCAGTTATCACGTGACCTCTAAATTGCATTAAAACTGTAAATGGCATCATGCTGACTGGATCCTTGAAGCTCTCTTGAGAGTGTCTTGATAGGGTTGAAAGGATTCCAGGAGATTTGGTCCAAAAGAGTAACCATATTTACTGAAGATCGTGTGCTCCTTGTAATATGTAATGAGATGAAGTTTGCTACTAGGTTGATGCTTTCTATGAATTGACATTTCCCTTATTTACTCAAAGATACAATTTGTTTACACTTGTTTGAGTACATTTTCTACTGAGGTGAGCTTTATTACTTGTGAGTACGATGGGTGTAAATAAAAAAAATATTGTCGTAAATATTTTATACTCACCAATAACTTAGTTCAGAATATATACTTGAGGTAAGCTCAAAATTTTCTCATAAAATTTTACTATTTTGTTTGATAGTTGATTATTTGGAAGAAAAAAGTTACACTTCATATTGAATAAATTTATGATGGGAATGAAAATTTCTGATCATAAATTCAAACGACATTGCGTTTTCAATCTTGAAAGATTCTCTAGTGATATAAAAAAGAAATTTAAGCTTTTAAAAAGCTTAATTCATGTAGATTTAGTTTAAATCTAAATTAAATAAACGATAATATTTGAATATTTGAGTCATAAAGATAAATTTATGGTAAAAATGATCAAGGAAAATTTATTCCGTCATGAAAATTTTTATCATGCGACAAAGTAATTTACATTATGTAACTAAATAAAATTCAGTATGATCGTACAATTACTATAAATTCTGAGGTAATTTTGATGATATAAAAACCAATTTCTTTATTAACTCATGTTAAAAAAAATTTTAACTCTTGATATGTACTTTAAAATAGATAATGAATTTCACTGAAGACAGTGTATGCATATAATATATATTTAAAAGCTTCAATAAAGCTCACAAAACACTTCAACATTTGAACATCGATTATCTTATTACTGTTGCTTATTTATGAGACACTCTATGTTGAATGAACTTTAAATATTTGATTTAAAAATATTTTAAAAACCTGTAAACTTGAAGTAAAGTGTTCTAGACTTTACATCATGTGTACATAAAAATCTGCTATTTAGCAATTTCACTTGTTGCTCTAAAAAGCTGGATGATAGAGAAATTTACGTAATCCTGTTCCTATTAGCATGCTGATAAATTAACTAGGGTACCAAATTGAATATTTTTAGATGTGTCTTTCTTATAAAACATTATGTAAAATACCAAAGATGTAATATTTTTTAACTCAAAAATTTATGTGAATATATGATTTTTCACATTTGACTAAAATATACTTTTTATATATTCCAAAATGTATATGTAATAGCAAATGTATTCTTATGAGTTTAGAATAATGCTCCACTTCGAGTGCATTGGAATAAAACAATCATGTAAATTCTCAAGCAGTTATACTTTTAGATATTCCAATAATACAGTCGCAGTTCATTGGATGATAATGATGATCTGGCTAATTTTATATTCAAAATATTATCTCAGGAGTATGAGTTATTCTGATTTGACATACACTTGCAGAAATGTTTCATCACTCTAGCTATATCTGGATGAAGGAAAGTTATAAGTTTTTTACTTCACCTGAATTTTGTTGTTAAATAGTTAAATAAGTAAATTGTCAGTAAATTGAAAACTGAGAATCCAACAGAGTTCAAATCACATTATTATGATTTTATTCCACGTTTCCAGAAACATATATTGGAACCATATGCACGTATCTAACATTTTCCAACATTTTAACCATACACTCTGGCAATTACAATTCTCGAACCATTGTTAAACAACTTCTGAACGTATATTACGTTGAATAACTTAACCATTTCAAATATCTACTCGATTTAGCTCATTTTCTTGACACCTCTGCACAATGTTCCTTTAGGAACAAAATTAAATACGAGATTTAATTCAACAAATAAATCATAGCAGCTTGAAAGATTCCTTTCCTGTGTGTTAATAAGTTGAACATATATCCTAGAATTAAATTTTATGTAGCAAATGTATTGATCAATAATACCCAAGTTTAATATGACTGCATTTTTCTATTTTACAATGCAAGTTGTATAGAAAAAAGCACTCTTTGATGTTGAAAATATTGAAGCAAAAGTAACATACAAATTCAAAAGAAATTCTAAGAATAAATTTTTTAAATGTTCAAATTATTAAGAAAAATGTCAACGATATTTTTCATTTCATTATTATTGCATAACTTTTCAAATTTTTTATTTTAAAAAACTCGTACTAAACTTGAACAACTTTCTTTTGATTGTATTGAATTATCTATAAAACTTATGATGAATGAAGGTTAAACTATATTGATTGGACTTTTTTTTTAGAAATTCAGGGAAATATTTTCAAGTAAACTGATGGAAGAGGATGTTTAAAATATATTACTTATTCATTTGGAAATAATATTAGCTTTACTTATTACTTTCAAGTTTGTTTTTCAGCAATTGTAGACAAGTTTTTGAGTGGCTGGACAATTGTTTGTCATCAACTATTTTCATGTTGATATAGTCTTTTCCTTCTAGCTGTTTTTGATAAGAGCTTTATTAAATTATGACGAACTTGTTTAATAAAACCTTACTACTTACTCTTGGTAAAGCTAGCTAGATTTTGGTCTTGATGATCATGATGATGAACAGTCTCCAAACTTCTTATAATTTTTGATACCTGAAACATAATTTGATAGTTTTGATGATTGACACACTATTAAACGTAATTATTAGAAAGCTTTGTTTTTTGATATTCAATTTAAAAAACAATACAAGAAACAAACAATGAATAAAAAAAATTGAATATTTTAATCAATATTTTTTCCACCAAATAACCTAGATGAAAGCAATTCGAATATTGTCAAACGGCTTTTTTGTTACTGGGGAGTTGCAACAAATGGCACTCCCTTGTGACTTAAAGCTCGAGTAAGAAAGAAATTGAGAAAAAAGTGCACATGCATTGGATGAATTTAGTGGAACAAATAAAAAGCGATTGAACGACAGACGTCCGCACAAACCTTATATTGAATTCCCACTGCGTCGTCTATAGTTCGTCTTAGTACTCTTCAGTTTTTTCTTTTACATCTTAACCATTTTTATTCTAGAAACGTCTTGCCAAGTTGAAGGTTTTATAAAATATTCAATTGACAAGTAGAGGAATAAATCTTAACTAAAATCAACTATTTGGGAAAAATTTCGTCTAAGCATATTTATTTATAACTTCCATTTATCTTTAATTTTTTTTACTTCCTTGAGTAAATGAGATAACATGATCTCCAAAGTAAACTTGAACAAACGTTCATTGGATAAAGAGCGAACTATATAAGTCTACAATTATGAGATTTTTCAAACGTATTGCATTAAAGATAAAACAAGTAAATTTTTTTAATTATTTCATGTTTGATTTTTAAATAAATAGATTAAAGAATTTTAGACTTAATAACTAAAGCTCTTAGCAACCACCAGAAAGGAAAGATTAATAATTAATAAACGGCAAAGATTAATTTTTACCATCTTTCGTTTTAAGTTTACTGAATTTTTGATAATTTTTTTTTTTAAATTTTTATCCATGTACTTGAAATAAAATGTATGAAGGTTTGAAATAAGACTATCAATTACAAAATCCTCTAATAAATTATTTCAACTTATTCAGTTTAACTGTCTAACTTTTTTTACCGTGAGTCTCACATATTTCATTCCCACCCTATTTATAGAAAATTATTCAATATTTTTCATCTGATTTTCCCATGTAATATGTGTTACAGGTATTCTCCAGTGTAAAGTTATATTTTGTCTCAATTTATGGTGCACCAAGGTTTATCACTATGAAATAACTTTCACCCCTCTTGTGTAAGACCAATCTTACTTTTTTATGAGGCAATTTTTACTTTTTTATTCTTTTTATGCAGATGCCATTTCATAGAGGAACAGTACAAATACAATATTTATGAATAACTGTGTTGCATTGAACAAAATATGCAAATAAAATTAACCAACGATAAATTAATGAGTAAAAATAAAATTAAAAATTTTTTTAATCTCTCTCTCTCTCTCTATGATGTAAAATAAATTTAAATTTGAGATAAAAGTGAAAAATATTTTTGCTCATTAAAAAAATTTTTTCATATCAAATATTTAATTCTAAAAAAAAAAAAAAATGAAATACTCTAGAATGATAAAAAGTTAATTTTTAAATATTTCCCATCAGAAGTAAGGAAATGAAATGTATATAATCAAATAGTTAATCAAACACAGCATATTTGTTCACACCATCTAACCTCTAAGGCGTCCATATATTTTATTTATTATCGTCTTCATTATTCAGTCACTTAGCACTTAATATTAGTAATAATTCACTCGATTTTTATCAGTACACCATTTTTTCTAATCCATCAAAAGATGAAAAAATATAATTACTACAATTTGATTGAAAACTTAGAAAGTCCATTAGCAACAAAAATTTTAAAACTTTAAGTTTATATTCTCCTACTTTCATGAGTCTTGAAACTCAATCATCATTATTTATATTTTCTTATCAGCCTCAGAAACATGTTGTTTGTTTACATTTACTGTATCTGTTTCGTACTGTACGTTATTTAATACAACACTAACTTGGTCCAATAAATGTTTTATATAAACTTTTATCAATAAAAGTTTCTCTATTATTTTCTATTCTTCTATTGTTATCTATTCTGAACAATTGTATTGTTACAATATTTATCACATCATCAATTCTATTAAGTAGCTGATGGAATGTTTGTTGCATATTAAATGGTATCAAAAGAAAAATTAATATCACTATAAAAAAATGACTGCGTAAAATGATCGAAGAAAATGAACATCTGGGTAAGTAAAAGATTTCCAAATTGAAAAGAAAAAAAAAATTAAATAAAAACTCCCCCACCTTTTGTGTGAAAATACATGACGCACTATCTCATAATTCTCCAAACCGGAAACCATCCATTAGTGCCTTAGGGAATGACGATGCTAGCAGCCAGGTCTGAGTAAGAAACGCAGTAGTAATACGTCGTGTTACAAAATAATACACTCATTCTAGTTCGATACTTATCATTATATAATTAAATTGACCTTTGATACTCATTTTATTATAATACACGAAAAAGATGTTTGTAAACATCCATGTCAATCAATCATAATTAAGGTTATCTAGATTTGATTTGTGATTTTCAACTTTGAAATGAAAACTTGGAACATTTGTTATTATTATCCCAACAACTCAAGACAATTAAATAAATTAATTCAAATGTAAGGTCGAATTTTCTTGTTGACACAATAACGAAAACGTAGAAGAGGTTTTAATGTAAATTTATGATGGTCTCCTGCAAGTTGCACGTGTTGGAATGGAATTAAGTGTGTGTTTGAACTGATTTTCATTTAGTTATCGAACAACTTTTGTTTACTACTTTTCGATATTGCTCTCGATAGCTGTTTTCGAAGAATTTTACCAACACAATTCTTCATTACTGAACTGTGTGTTCAAACTGTTGTGGAATATAATATTGCAAGATTCAATGGCTTCTAAATGAACTTACTCGATTGAAAATATATCAGTGGATAAATATGTCGAAAAATATAATCATTTTCAGTGAAACTTGATAATTATACCAATTGTGTTTTTATTTTATTGAAAATAAATGAATTGTTTTAAAGTTAATAGCAATTTTAAATTGTTTTGATCAGTGTTAGAAATTTACAGTAACTAAAAATCAGTCATGTATAAATATAAAATTAAATGAATTATTACCCATGGTTAAAGTTCTAACAAATGGTGTTATTAATACAAACGAATGATTTTTTCAACAAAAAACAAACTATCTTTGCAAATGACATAAATTTAATAGCTTAATTTTGATAGAACTCTACTGAAATTCTAAAAAAAAAAAATAATCAAATTATTAATTCATTTCCTGTCGACTTACCAGAGCAATTATTTTGAATTAATTCACAGATTTGGCGTCCTGGGAGTACCGTGAACAATGAAAATAAATAACATAGACTTGAAGTAGCAGGCTGAGGTACAGGAGGACAAATTGGAAGTGGATAAAGTGAATATCATTGTGGAGAAAAGTGAAGCAGCTTATAGATAATAGAAAAGCTAAATAGAAAGAACCCAAACGATGTGCAATAATATGAGGATACGAAGATTTTTGTGTCTTCTCTTTGTTTTTGTTGGTAGTTCGTTGACACAAACGATTCAACATTGTCCCAAACCTGCTGATATTAGTCCATGCTCTTGCTCTGTCAAGAAAAATGGTTTGGATATCATTTGTGAATTTACAGACCACGTACATATCAACAATGCTATAACAGCTCTCAAGCAACAGCAAAATGCTATTATTTTTTATCTTAAGTTACGCCACAATAGTTTCCCCAAGCTTCAAGGTTTTGTGTTCTTGGGATTAGTTGTTCAACATCTTACTATACATAACAGTAGTCTTGCAACAGTTGAAGAAAGCTCTCTTAGCTCTATTGGTAAGTCTTCTTTATTTAATTAACCATCAACTTTCTACAATAGATACTAAAAGAATTATTTAGTTTTTCTTAGCAGTAAATCGTTTTCAAAGGGAAATGTAGTAAGTTTGTGTTGAGGGAATAGCTTGGCTTCTAACTTTTCAATTCATCTTATTTTCTTGATTTTAATTGAATGATTAAGAAGAGTTTCCCTTACTTTTAGAAAAGTTATTAACTTCATTTTTTGACTTAAATATTTATCAAAACGGATATAGAAAAAAAGAACAATTTGTTGTGGAGAAAAGTTACTTTAAGATTAAACTTTTAATTTGCTTTTTTGGTATGTACTTATATCAATAATAGTTTTTTTATCGATTCTTGTAATTAAAAAAAAAATGGAATAAGAAGATTAAATTAATGAGTTAAGAAGCCTTGAATGCTTTGCTTAAAACTTTTCATACCAAAATTCATTCATTTAAAGATTCTCATTGATTTTCACACTGAGTAGTAAAAAAAAAACTGAAATCATTCTTGCTTCAATACTTACCATAATTGGAAAAAAAATTTGAATGAGTTTAATGTAAGTATTTATAAGTGAACTTCAGTCGATGAATAAGAATAAAAAAATCCTCTTGAAAAGTGGTGTGTGTTTTAGAAATTTTTCATATCACATCTGAATTTTTAGAGGTAAAGTTATTTTACAAATTTGTTCAATATTTAAAAAGAAAAAAGTAATAAAAAATTTTGAATGAGGTTTTTTATAAAAAAAAACTTCTTCATAATTTTTGATCCGTTAAAATTTGATTATTTTTTCAACAGCAGTACTACTCTCTGAAAGTTTTCAAAATTTTAGAGTTTTTATTCAGAATAAATTTTTAATATTAAAAATTCACTGTTGGAATGATAACGTAATTCAAATAATCCTTTCTATTCATTATTTTTTTTTAAATTTAATCATCTCAAAATACAATACATAATAATATTTTAGATTCTATAAATTTGAGCGATTTAATAATATATCTAGATGTAGACAGCTTCAATAGGACAAAATTCCTATGAACGGCTGTAAATCAATTGAAAAAGAGGAATTGATTTAAAAATCTTACAATAAATATGAAAATTACGATTTCATATAGTCGTGCAAATAATATTGAAGCTCTTTTTTTTTGCTCTACAGGAAAAGGACTAACGCAATTGGATCTTTCACAAAACTACCTCACTTATGTACCATCTTCAGCTTTAGTAAATCTTCACTCCCTCATAATATTGAATTTGAACCGGAACAAAATTAAGGAATTACATGCACGTTCATTTGCTGGATTGGATACACTAGAAATTCTGAGTCTTTATGAAAATAAAATTTCTTCAATCGATCCTGATGCATTCACTGGCCTTGATGAGTAAGAAATACATACACCGAAATTTTTCTATTAAATAGAAGGAATACTCAAGAATAAAATTGAAATTTGATTATTATATGTAATCATTTGAATTGACTGTGATGAAAAGCATCCAATTAATTTGAAATAGGCAAGAAATTTTTATTCTCTTTGTAAATAAAAAATGATGAATGGCTTTTCTATTCCACAAACTACAGAAGAGTCTATCAATTTTTCAATGATATTTATTCCAACAATTTTATGAAAATCTATTTACGTGTTCAGAACGTTAAAAGCAAAGAGAAAAAATTTTACTCAATTGTAAAAAACGAATCCAATAATAACGATTCAGTTTTCTTTATACTTCCATAAACGTAAATCCAATAAACATCACAAAAAAAACGGATGAATAAATGTAAAAATTAATTTAGAAAGATAATTTTGAAATAACTCGCTTCAGTGAAATGAAAAAAAAAAATAATAATATCAAAACCATGATGAATTTCTGTAATTTTGTTCTTGAGTATATCTCTTCATTTTCTCCGTTATAGTTGAAGGATAGTTGTTGATGTTGATCACTGATTCAATGTTTACTCATTTGTCCAGCCGGAAATTAAAGCGGCTAAACCTTGGTGGAAATCAGCTGACAAGTGTTCCTACATCAGCTTTATCATCCCTGGATGTGCTAAAAAAGTTAGAGTTGCAAGAGAACAAGATTACAAGCATTCAAGAGGGAGATTTTGAAGGTAAATAAATCTTCTAGACATCCTAAATATTTTTGTTTTCCCTTGAGAGATTTTTTCTTGTATTTCAAATCCCTTTAAATTACAAACATTCAAACTGTGGATAGAATACGAGCAAATGTCTTTTATTTGTAACGGAAAAATTGCTAAACATTTTACTTTGTCATCACGTAGTTATATTGCCAACGAAAATATCATTTAGAAGATTTCTTAGGTCTCACGTCTATACGAGGAAGCTTTTTTTTTCATTTTTTTTTCTATGTCTTTTTTATATCTAACTTTATAGCTCATCTTTCCCCTCCATTATGTGAACTATAAAGGATACTTAAGCTTTACCTTTATTTTGAATTTTTCAATGAATTTTTCCTCGGTCACTGATCTTACGAAAAAGCTCTGAAGCAACCGTTACGGATTATTCATTATACATATTCATTTTAACTGCATTGTAAGTATAAAAAAATATAAAAAAGTAAATCTTTCAAAAATTATTATACACCTACCACCTCTAAATAGCTTAAAACGACGCTCCTACCACCCCCCTAGCATCTTTTATAAATTATATTTACCCTCATGGCTATAATAAAGCCATGAATTTTTATGTGGAACTGAGAGCCAGTGTTGGAAACTTAGTTTTATTTGCACTTTTGAATAATTACCAATTTTATCTACAAAAACTCTTGTTGTTATTTTGAATTATTCTTTTTACTAAAAATAATTATTTAATAAAAACAAGAATCTTTTACTTAAATAATTAGCATATTAGAATAGAAATAGAATTAATTAATACTCCTTCTATTTTTTATTTCCTTAAAAAACCAAATCATACCTGAGAACCTTAATTTTATAATCCATCACATCATATACATTCAGTCATCAAAGTGAACCCATTCGAGTATTAAGCCCAATCAACAACTAGTGATGTTTATTTAATTGGATCATGACTTCACATCATTTAGCATGACTTAGTCTATCATAATTCACTAACGAATACATCAGCATCAACATGAGTAAAATTATCAATTATAAATATACATAGAATAACTTGTATAGCTGAAAAATACGTAGGATTACTCTTTGATGTTGATTACTATTACATACAGTTTACGTACAGACCACATTTGAAAGCCTCGCTATTCAGAGAGATACCAGTAGATCTACTGCGGATGGAAATGATTAAAAGTGATGATAAAAAAACCGGAACTGATAGCTTGATTAGTCAGCTTGAAGTGTTTTATTTAAAACTTTAATAGCTATTATAGTATTTTTATACAAAATAAAAAAACAAAATTAAAATAAAGCAAATATTTTATTTTGATTAAATGTATTGTAGATACTTGATACAGTAATTAATTATTTTGATAATTTTCTTGAATTCTACATCATTCATTTAAAATTTAAAACATAATTTATTATTTGCCATGAATGTCCAAAAAGTTTCCACATAAAACGTACAGTTCATGATATAAATTTTAGTTTATTTCCCTTTAGCTTAAAGTTATTACCAATTCTTTCGTTCGAAAACATATTTCTAACTTGAACTATCGTTTAAAGAGATCGTGACAACTGACCCAATTGAATTTTTCTACTCTGCAGGTTTGAAAAGTCTTGACTCATTGGTATTGTCACACAATCAAATTCGTGAGGTGCCAGCACGAGTATTTTCACACTTGACTCAATTAAACTCTCTAGAGCTTGAAGGTAATCTTATCAACTATGTGGATCCTGATGCTTTTATAGGTTTAGAAGGTAAATTAATATTATTTTTATAACATAGATTTTTACTACTGTAAAAATTCAAATGACACACCTGGTTCAATTGTTATTATACTTTTCATACTTTTCTCTTTTTATTATCTAGAGAATCTTCAATACCTCAAGCTCAACGAAAACAATTTACATATTATACCAAGTGATGCGCTCCGACGTCTTCATCGCCTTCGCCATCTGGAACTCAAATCTAATAACATCACCGTCCTTTCAGATGATGCATTTACTAGTTATGGAGACTCTATATCATTTCTGAACCTCCAGAAAAATTTGTAAGTATTTTTAAAATGAATTTGTTATTTTTACCAATGCTTCTTGGTTTTTATTATTTCAAGAAATTATCTTCAAGATTAAAATATGCATGTTTATTAAATTTTATACATCGTCTTCATGTTTTAAGAAGGTATTGTTTCATGTCATAATTATAATTGCAATTTAAAAACCGTTCTATTGATTCAATTTATTAAAGAGCAAATCGATTAGTTTCAAGTTACATAAAACAGATAAAATTTCAAACAAAATTAAAAAATTATCTCAGAATAATAAAAAAAAAGCATGGATTCAGTTTTTTATTTTTATCTTTGAATTAATATTACATATAATTACATTTTGAATGATCTATTATTATTGGATATATTTTATTGTTGATAATTATTCAAATTTATGTAATAAAGTAGTAAGATTATTATTATCAGCATGACTAAAATTGATCGTAGATATATATGCACGTCATTGTATATTAAATGAAGGGTGGAACCGTCTTTTTTAAAAATATTCTGTTCATTTCAAAGATTAAGTTTCAATTTCGAAATGAAGAAAAGAAAATAATAGTTGAATATTTATAAACTCACTCAATTACATTTTCAAGAATTTTAATAATTGAGTTAAAAGTATTGGTATTGAATTAGATTACGAATAGTTGAAACTTTTTTTTCAGATTATTTCTAGCTTCCAAAAATTGAAAATAATGTAGCAAAGCTAGAAAAAGCTTCCAACGTTGTGCTTATAATAGTCAAATAAATCATAATTAATCCAATAAATTTTCATTTTTAAATGAAAAATGTGAAATTTTTTTCTCAAAGTCATAAATCATTTTTAATTTATGGATAAATGTTACGATTAAATATAAAAATAGTAATATTTTTATTTTTTTAAATTACTTTCAGAATTAAGACCCTGCCTGTAATGATATTTGAAAATCTCAATTCTCTCCAAGCACTTAACTTAGGAAACAATAAATTGACACACATTCCTGAAGAGACAATTGAAGATGTTCTTGATACTTTAGTCATGATTGATATAACAGGTTTGCATCAAAATATCATTTCTTTCTATTTATAAAATGCAATGATTTATTAATATCGATTCATTTTAATTATCATCAAAAATAATTGATATTTAAATGAGTTTATTTGATGAACAAACTTTTATTTTTCTTTGATAAATTGATTGAATGTTTTTAAAATTTTTTTTTTAAGACAACCCGCTAATCTGTACTTGTGATCTACGATGGTTTCCTTATTGGCTGAAGAATTTAAAAGGTCAAGATGACGACACGATGTCAAAGAAAAGAACCGTCTGTACAATGTTACCAGAAAATCGCGAATATGCATTACAAAATATCCCTCTCGAAAAAATGGGTTGTGTTGGAAAGACAGGCAGAATATCAGGATCAGGCATTGCATCTTATTATAACGTGAATGTTCTTCAATTTATTATCGTCGTGAGTACAGCAGCTTTGCTGTAATATTAACGAGATGATAACAAATTTATTTAATAGCTTATTTAGTTAGATTCAAATCTGCATTAATGAATTTTAAAGCATTTTTCATGAGACTTTCTCTTCGATATCAAGGAAGCAATTAGTGTAGACAATGAGAAATTATTATAATAACATTTACTTCGACAATCCGTAAAAGACTCATGTTTTACGAGAGTCAAATTATTAAACAAAATGTTCGACATTAAGTCACTCTAACGATACATATCAAAAAATCGTTGCCAACTATATTTTTTTAAATTTTCTTTGAATTTTTTTCTGAATATAAAACATAACTCTCAACGAGTTCCGGAATATGTAGATTCCGGATTCATATACATATCAATGCGTTTTTATTCAACTTTCGAGGAAGTATTCTCGACTGAGAAAGGAATTTAGATATAATAATGACAATTCAAGAATAATTGAATCAATGAAATATTACGTTTAAATATTTGAGTTCAAAAATCTTACAACTCATTCATAATAATGATGAGTATATGAATTTTAATTTACTTCAATCAAACGCCCACAAATAAAATTAATTTTAAAAATCATCAGAATATTTTATTGATTCAGATAAATCTGCAAAAAAAAAGAAAAATTATGATAGTATTATAATTAATAAAATATATTTTCTGTATCGATTTAGATTTCTTTCTCAGAGTTTAACATAAAAAGTATAGTTTAAAATAAAAGTATAAATAAATATGAAATCAGAGATGATGGGAATTGTTGATATTTACAAAACAAAAGAGCAACGAAAATACAAAAGATGATTAAGGAATCCGTTGATAGGATTCGATACATCTTCGTATTCACTTGAACAACATGATACAAATGGAATTATATAATGACGCCGGTATATGAAGCGTAATACACCTAACAGGAAGCAAACACTTGTCCAAGTACTCCATGTATACTTATATGGTTCAATTCGTGTCTCTTTACCCGTCATCTCTTCGCGGATTTAGATCGAGCAATTGGGATTTAAATAAACACGAGTCCTCCCTTGTATTGATACTGATATGTTAATATTACTAAAGTTAATGATACAAATATAAATAATTAAGGATATGGTTAAATGATTAATTATAAAAATAATTATTAATTAATGATTAATGTTAATATTGCATAAATATATATATATAAATATAGATATAAATAATTATTCTTGAATAAATATAAAAATGTAGGTTACAAGGATTTAAATATACAATTAGCTTATGTTTAATGCACGCCTCTTGATTAGTAGGTTCACTGCACAGATTTTAAGAAGCTGAATTAATGTTTTCTTTCTGTGATTGCAATTAATTCATTTTTGATAAAAATAAAGAGTATGATTTATTTGAAAGTCGGATTTTTTAACTCGAATAAGTCTCTTTTATTTATTTCAATTGATGGATAATAATGAATGGTGATGAATTAGTTGAGCATTACTCTGAAGAATTTTTTTTTAACATATTCAACAATTTTATTTTTAGCAAAAATAATCTTCTGATGTAATATGAGCTTGATGATAATGATTCATGTAATTAAAAAAAAAAAAATTATTTATAATTAAGAATAATAATTTTAATAATTAAAACCGATAAAGTTGAAGAAAAAAAAAATGATTGTTAGAATTTTTTTTGTTGCTTTAGATAATATTGAACAACAAATAGAAATTTTTAACGCGCTAATAATAATTAACAAAACCAAATAGAGAGAGAGAGTTAATGATGGTGCAAAAAAAAAAGACCATTAAAGTTATCATTAGATGATTTTTATCTTAAGCGAAATCGTTGATGGATGTATGAATAATTTATAACAATAAAAACCTTCAATTATTTTTATTTCTTCCGTGTTGATTAGTTTTAGTTAATTGCAATCCTAGAAAGCAGATGACTGAGATGTACAAACTATATACAGTTTGTATTCAGCTATCTTTTATCAATTTCACGAATTTAATCGAGAAAGTGAAAATTCTCTCTTCGTATTGTGGAGAATAAGGGAACGATATACATATCATTCACGATTTTTCTGATATCTATGACATATGATAAAGCCTCGAATAGATAGTTAAGTGTAGTTATTTTACCTTGACCATAAAAATCACATACATATCTCTTGACCCGATTTTGGGATTAGTGTGACAAATATTTCAGAGAATTTATGAGTAAATGAATATTATACATCATCTATATACATTATTATGACCATTGAAAAAAAAATATACACAAAAAAAAACGAAAAAAAAAAATTATATTAATAGTAAATATGTTTGTAGAAATAATTATTATTGATTGATGATTATATATAAGGCCCAGAATGTTTTCTATGAAATAACATCAATGAAATTAAACAGAGCAATGAAGAAATTTTTTTTAACAATGTTAAGAAACATATAGTGAAACATAATAGTAAAATAATTGCAATAGTATTGATTTGTAAGAAATATTTTCATTTTATTAATAGTTAAATTTAAGAAATACGCCAACTGCGATTTTAAGTGGGCCCTACTTTAATACTTAAAATTCGTATGCGGCATATTTCGATTGATTGTGGGCGCTCTAGTAGCTGATGAAAAGTAGACTAGATCAAGAGAATCATAAATGCAGAAAAAATAACTAAAAATAGTCAGAAAATAGTGAAAAAAAAGAATTAACAATCTATAGTTCGGTATAAATGTAGAGATTATTTAAGGTCATGGGGCAACGGATACCTTCAATAATAGAGTTAAGAAAACTATCAATTAGTAAAATGATGAACAAGTTATTATGGGACCGTATTCCCACAGAACCATGTCGAGACATATCGATTTGGCGTAAGCTTGCTCGAGGCGAGCAGAATTAATATTAGAGATTAATTAATTCAATTAATAATAAGCGGTATTTTTGTACAGTCTTACAAATAAATCATTTATTAAATATTTTATTGCGGCTGGCTTCACTGATAAGAGTGCACAAATCCGGCTGCATACTTACTAAATATTCTTCTTGCTAGAAATTTTCGAGTTACTGAAAAAAATTAATGAATAATTAAACCAAACTCCCTCTCCCCCCGTCTATAAAAACAATAAAACATCAATTAATTATAATTAATTATGGCAGATATGAAGGTAAAGAGCATAACATACAGTTAAAAAGTGTTGATTATTTAAGAGGAAGTGAAACTATTTAATATCGTGATGTGCTTGTACACGCAAAATATATTAACGCGAAAGCTGTCGAAAGAAAACGCAGCATTAAACTAAATAAAAAAAAATTTTGTCAACAAAAAAAAATTGATTAATCTATATAGAAAAAAATTTTTCACTCATTTATCTAAATGTTGTTTGCTAAGTCATAAATAATTTTATTGTCGTCATGTTCAATCTTTGAATAAATATTGCATCTATTGAAAGTCTAATATACCTAAATGATTAATTATTATTAATGATAATGCTAATGGTGATGATAATAATATTAATTATTATTATTAATTATAAAAGAATGTGAAAAATAAAATCTATATACAAAATGCCGAAAAATAAACAATCTATCAATGTTATATACATAAATATATATATAAATATATATATATATATATTGTGAATCTTCAACACTTATTATTAATCATGTATATCGTTATTATGATAAATAATTGATTGATCAATTAACTGGTAATTATTATTAATTATTGAATAAATATAATAAAAATTGTTTGAGGAATATTTTATTGATTGTAACCCTTAATTCATTGGTGGAATGATTATTATAATTTCATCAAATTATAATTATCAGCAAGTCATGTGTAAATGTCATGCTCCTAATTGAATAAATATTAAATATTCATAAGTCTAATATTATTTACCTTTCGGTGAAATAGGTCTACGTGCTTCATGATTTGTGGAAGAGAAGTTGCAAGTGATGTCATATTTCATTCGTTGCAGAGACCAGTCCCATTGGATAAACATAAACAAAAGTTCATTAACATAATGAAACTGTGGTTTCAAGATATAATGAGCCACGTTTTTTATTCAGGTAGGTACCTCTGATTTACTCTGGTTTTAATTTATTCGTCTGCTGCTGCGATTTTGTGCTCTATTTATTCATTTAAATGTGCTCTGTTATCGGTTGGAGCTCACTACTGGCCATCTCTGAAGGTTTCCAGCTGATGTGGTCCTGAGCTAAAGAGTATTCAGGATCCAACCTGAATTAAATCAGGAATACCTGGTTGATGATGAATTTATAACTGCTAATTAGTTATTTAGCATCAAAATTTTGGGTCTGTTGACCTATTCTTCCTGGTCTATCTTCATATTTAAATAACGAACTTTTTTATTTTAATAAAACATGGGTGAAATATTCTGTTCAACTTGGTGCATGATAAATAAAGCTTTCAATTATTTATTCCTTCAATATTTTCAAGTTTTTCTATACATATCTTTTACTTTGATTCGATTCCAGAATCGTGAAAAATACTTTAAAATGATTGAAAAAGTTATCCAATGATTTAGAGATCAATGTTCCTCAAGGACATGTGAATTTTTATCTGGTTCAGCAAAAATAGATGCATCATTATACCTTACATCAATATTATATGCTGCATTATAATATTTATGGTACTAAAAAGGCACTTTTTTCTAATGTTTTATATTTTTACATATCAGTATGATAAAAAGACCCATGAAGGTACATAAATTATTCCTCAGCTTTCTGCTAAATTTAATGTATAAATCTAGCAAATAGTTTTTATTACTCTCTACATTTCTGAGGTAAATTTTTCCATATAACTTTGTTCGAGTATTATTTATCAAGCGTGATAAAATTATGTATGCATTTGTTTGGCTACTTGGCCACAATCATGTTATTGTGACTACCATGAGTCATTTCATTTCATTGCCAATTGATTTATTGATTTATTTCAAATCAAGATGGCTTTTAATCCTTGAATATTTTCAGCAGATGGTGAATTAAATTGACTGATAAATTTATTTCATTCATTTATCAACCATCAGTTGATCAGAATTGCCACAAAAAGATAGCTAATCGTGATTAGAAAAATTTAATTGTTGATTAATTGAGTTTAATGAGACAGAGTTTTTCAATTCGGTTGACTATTGTAGTTTAGGGAATTATTTTCCAAAGTTTTTGCCAACTTTGATTGTTTTGGGTATGATTGGAGCTTTGGGATTATTCACACTAGTGCTTTGGTGTTCTTACGTGACTTCCGTGAGAGAAAAAAGTAGTGAAGAACTCGAATTTAATGTAAAAACTGGTGATACAGCATTGATCCCGACAGCAAGAAATCGGATTACCGTGTCTGTTCAGACGTCTTTGCAGACTTACTGCACTATTGCAGAATGCAAAACTATTACTTGTAATTCTATTTCATCTCTAGACTCCGGACAAAGTAGCTTCAGCATTTTTAGCAAATGCTTTTAAGGTATTATCTCCTGAATCTTAGATTAATTGATTTTTCTGATGTTTGACCTGATTCCGCATTTCTAGGCATTGAGACGAAGAGAATGAGTGGTCGAACTTGAAAATCGGACAACTTTGATTTTTCGACCCCAAAAAATGGCAAGTGGTACCCCTTTCCATTTTTTTCAGCCAAAAAATAAAAGTTCTCCGATTTTGATGATTGAGGGCTCATTCTCTTCGTCTTGATGCGTAGAAATGCGGAATCGGGGCACCGCCCGAAAAAATTCGTTTTAACACCCTTAAGAGGGGGTAAAACTGGATACACACTAAAAATCATCATCCCCTTGTCTTTCAACCCTTGTAACTCATGAATGGACGGCCCAATAATCATTTTTAGGGACGTTTTTAAAACCTTAGAGTCTGAGCTATCTGACGATATTCATAGATTTATCGAGAAAAATTTCTTTCACCCTTAAAATCGTTAAAATATAAAAAAAAATCATATTTTTTGAGGAGTTTGCCAACTATTTTGGCAATTTTGAGGATGAAAGAAATTTTTTATATGTTATTTATGGATATGTATTTTTAGCTTAGATTCTGAAGTTTACAAACATCTCTTAAAAATCATCATTAGATGACTTTCATGAGAGTTATAGAGGTCTAAAGTTGAAGTAAGGGTCAAAAATTATCTACCCTTCAACTTTGGATCTCTATACCTCGTAAAAAAATTATCAAACAATGATTTTTAAGAGATGTTTAGAAACTTCAGAATCTAAGCTAAAGATACGTATCCATAAATAACATATAAAAAATTTATTTCACCCTCAAAATTGCCAAAATAGTTGGCAAACTCCTTAAAAAATGTGATTTTTTTTTATATTTTAACGATTTTAAGGGTGAAAGAAATTTTTCTCGATAAATCTATGAATATCGTCAGATAGCTCAGACGCTAAGGTTTTAAAAACGTCCCTAAAAATGATTATTGGGCCGTCCATTCATGAGTTACAAGGGTTGAAAGACAAGGGGATGATGATTTTTAGTGTGTATCCAGTTTTACCCCCTCTTAAGGGTGTTAAAACGAATTTTTTCGGGCGGTGCCCCGATTCCGCATTTCTACGCATCAAGACGAAGAGAATGAGCCCTCAATCATCAAAATCGGAGAACTTTTATTTTTTGGCTGAAAAAAATGGAAAGGGGTACCACTTGCCATTTTTTGGGGTCGAAAAATCAAAGTTGTCCGATTTTCAAGTTCGACCACTCATTCTCTTCGTCTCAATGCCTAGAAATGCGGAATCAGGTCAAACATCAGAAAAATCAATTATTTCACTCCTAAAATGGGGTAAAACGGGAACTTGCTATAATTTCAGCAAAAATAATGCTCCAATGATAATTTTACCTAGTGCAATAAAAAGATCTCATTTTTACAAATTCATTGATATGCTTATTTTCTATATAGGCCTTATAGATCCTGAGTTATTAACAAAAAACCAAGTTTACGTGTAGAGACATGAAATGTAAAAAAAAAAAATTTTGTTCCTCAAACGTTCTCCATGGTCCCACGAGGGAAACTTTGGGGAACTCACCTACTTGCGAAGATTCGGGGAACGAATTTTTTTCATACGAGTAGTGTTAATAATAAAAATATATTTATGTTCTAAATAAAGTAAATGAGTTGTTCATGCCAATCTAGTTATAAGATATGCTATTTTATAACGAGATTTGTTCACTGTCATTAAAATTTTCATTATTCAATTTATCTACCAAGTAATAAGCATTGATATTACAAACATCATCTGTATGTTAACATTATGTTGAAAGTTGTAAAATATTCAAAAGGATTTATCGATCTTCTCCATAGAAGCTAGACATTCATTCATTATATCAACCAAACCCATGATGTTTCTAGCTAGTGATTTTTCACAACTGACAATTATTGATGAATCATGTTATTATGTGCCTGTCTTCTTGAAATGTAGTGTAGAAGTCAATGCAATCAAACCATTATTCTACTGTCTGACATTTTTGTATTTTTTTTTTTCTTCCTTTATGAGATATTTTATGAGAAAAATATGAATGAACAACGGAAATATATAATAAAAGATCTCTTTTTTCACCATCATAAATCCACCACCTTATTTTTATGCAACCATAAACGATTTTGAATGATATCTACAACTTTAATGTTCAAAGTAAACATTCATATGAAAACAAATATTATTTCAGCTTTTGCATATGGAAATTTGTGAATATTACATGTAGATATGAGAAAACACACCTTTAAAAATACCATCATCTTTTGTAAGATAAGTTTTTTATTTAATAAATAACTTAATAAAAGATGAATTTCAATCCCACATTAAACCACCTTTCTATACCATTCTGATTCATACCAACTTTTTGATGTTTTTGCTGGAATGTTTCTATCAGAAAGTGCATCACTTCCGCTCTCAAGCCTTCAAATGTAAGAGTGCTATCTGATTACCATGCTAATTTCACGTTTAGAAGAAGGCATTGTTTCTTTGATCAACCATATCTCCAACTATGCTATGTTACCTAGCTCTCTTCTCACTGTGCAATGTACTAACATATACATAGCTACTTTCTATGTGTTTCAATATTATACCCTTTGGCTTTTGTATCTCATTTCATAAATGAAAAAACAATAAATATTCTATCACAAAGGAAATACAAGTAGATAGCATCTATCTATCAAAGAGTATATTGGAAAATTTAGAATAGATTAAAGAATCTTCAAGTTTTCTCTAGGAATAGTCTAGTCATACTGTATAGATATTTGTTGATATGATTGTCAAACTTTTTTTTATCCACATTCTTACTTTTAGCTTTCCACTTACAAATTATTGTGATAGATCCAATTTTTACTTTCCTTTTTTTATTTAATATTTCTATGTTTATCAAGAACGTGATTGGAACAATTGTTACTATGGAAAATTAGTTGCAGGTAAATACAAATCTTCGATTTCTAATGTTTCTATCCTGTTGTATAGAAAATAGACTGAGACCTTAGTCCAGGGTACAACTTTGTGTTCAATGTTTTCATTCATTCCACTAGAAAGCTAAGATTCATTCAACTAAGACATCAAATTATGTAGCAATTCACATGATTATAAATTATTAAATATTTCTTGAATTGAAATATAAATTCATGATGTTCTGCTTTAAAATATTGTTGCTTGAGAAGAAATAAAATAAATTTCCATAAAACAATGAATAATATTATTTTTTCATCCGCTCAATGTTTTATTTTTAATACGAGTTCTGTTGTAATAATATTTTTTATCATTTTAAATCCTCTACAGTCCAGGAATTTTCAATTTATTTATTAATTAAATCATTCTTTCAGTGATATTTAATTAAAATGTCTATCACTAACAAAATATAACATCTCATAGACATGGAGCAAGGTGTTAGTGCAATACCTTTTTCTTGATTAATCTAATGTGCTGTTATCCAATCAATAATCAAATGATCACGTTTTATTCCAAACTAAATTACTATTCTACTATTTTATTCTCATATGATATTATTTTATCCTTTTTCAAGGTTCAGTGCCCGACTAAACAGACAGTATCAGCTCTCGTGTTCAGACACTCCAGCTTTTCTGGCAGCCAATTAAGTGAGTCTTGGTTAACACCAGTCATCAAAATAGATGGCATTCAATTTGAAAATTGTTACTTGAAAGAAATAAAAAAGAATGCTTTTTCTTCATTTATTTTTAATTCCACAAAAAGTCTTTCAATTATTAATACGAAAATTAGTATTTTAAATAAATATGTCTTTGAAGAACTTGGTAATTTACATAACTTAGTTATTCAAAATAATTTACTCGTGGAAGTGGAATACAACTTACTGAATAATGCAGCTGAAACATTAGAAACAATCGAGTTGGATAAATCCATTGAGAATATACAAGTTTTGTATAATATCACGAGAGGAAAGAAACTTTTAAAGGTTCAATTATTGTCTCTGCAAGGTAATAATATTCCAATTTTATCAAATGAAATATTAAAAGCATTCCCTAATGTTGTATCACTCTATATGGATTCATCGAAGATTCAGAGTATTCATGAGAATACATTCAAGTCATGTCGACAGATTAAGCAAATCTTTATCGATAATAATAGACTCACAACTCTGACAGAAAGTACTTTTAATTTTCTATTGTACTTCAGTCCACAATTTAAGATTTCAATGATTGGAAATCCTTGGAACTGTGAATGTGACCTGAAATGGATCCAGGATATGCTTCTGAAAGATCCACAAATGATGACAAAAATTCCAATTTGTAAAACTCCAATCAAAAATAGTGGTGAGTCTTTTTTGACTGCTGAATTTTGTGATTATCAGCTTTCCACAACTCTTGATGCATCAACAAAGTTGCAATCTACTTCAGAAATTCCTATTAGCTATTCAACTGAATCATCGATTGGAATACTTTGCCAGAATTCTCTCTCACTATTACGAAATGCTCAAAGAAAGTTATTTTCCATATCAGATTATGAATTTCCATCAAAACAATCAATCTTTTTTATTCAGCAATTAAAAAATGGATCAATTATCGTTAATTTAAGTAAAAATGACTCTCAAGCAATTTTATGGTTCAAAACTTTTAATAATGATATTGGAGAGATTAATTGTTTGAAAAATATTAGTGGAACAATTATTCTGAATAACCTTCAAGATGATTCATTGTATACTATTTGTTTATTAGATAAATCAAACTTTAAAGTTTCACCATTTAATTGCTTAGCTTTCAAGACTTTACCAGCAAAAAATGCTCGGATTTGGCTGTCAAATGGTGATAAAACATTCGTTTTATCGATTTACACTGTTATTGCTTTTTTATTTTGTCTTTTGGGTGGAGGAAGCTGCTTTTACATTATAAAAAAGCATCCAACGTTGTTGAAAGGTAGTAAAAGAGTAATTCTGGTTAAGCGTGGGCAGGTAAATGCCTTGGTTCTACCAAAAGGAATTGATGATGATTTTTTTAAGAGAGCAAAAAAAGAAAAGCCAGGAAAATTAGATGATTTTAAAATTCCTAGAGTCGATTATCTTACACCAGTTATGAAGAGAAATCGTTGGTCAAATGTTTATGATTCAATAGATAATAAAAGATCAAAAAATGTTGAATTAAATTCTAGGGAAAGTGTTACAGAGAATATCCCTCCTCCATTACCACCTCATCCTTTTCACGGTGTTATACCTTCTGTTTCATTGTTAATGGATCTAGAGCATAAAATACCAGGTGGATCCAACGAAATACAAGATGACACGGAAATTTATTCTTGCATCCAGCCAAAATAGTCAATGTTGCGAAAGCTTGGGATAATGATAATATTAACGAAATGTCGCTGATGTCTATTTTTGTAATTAAACACATTGGACGAAACATGTGCATCGACATTTTATCTGATTGGCAAAGCAGGTCGTATTTGATGCATATATTCAGACTATAGGCAATTTGCCAGCGAGCATTTGAACGGCTAACGAGAGAAGGGGTGGCCTTTGGTAATGAGCTAGATACCTACTAACTTTAAAAGGATAGTAATGTTAAGATACTATAAGCTTGTATTATCGTTTGTTACTCCCTGATCATCATTAATAATAATAAACATAAATAATAACACATTCTTGCTGTAATTTACTTATCTTTATTGATAGTACAACATTTTATGGCTCCAATTATCTCTGAAAATTAGAAATTATATCAATTTTATCAATAATTAATTAAACACTATTTTAATATTTTAAATTATTATCATTAAGTTGCATTTAATCAATTAGTTAATAAAAGAATCTTCTATTAATATCAATTTTCCTCATTACTTTAATTTATGAAATGTTCTGTTATCTCTAGGACTTGAATTAAAAAACAAAATTAACTTTTAATTTACAGAATATTTGATTAACTTTTTGAAGTACTGTTAAATTTTATTAATTAAATTTTTTAAAATTATTTTGATTAATTTTTAATATTTAATTTAATTAAAAATAGTATTGACAGTAAAAAATATGATAAATGTTTGCAAGCAATGAACAATATTGAAATGATTAATTATAATTAAACATTTTTTATTGATGATAAAAAATAATTATAAAAAATGTGTCAACAATTATTTAACAAAAAAAACTGCTAAATAATTCATCATCACTCTGTAACTTGATTAATAAACTCTAATCTTCACACATTATGTTTCAAATGTAAATTTATTTTATCCATCTGTTTAATAAATCAATAAAAATAAATGATGCCTATTAATAAATAAATATAAACAAAGCATCATAAAGTTTATAACCATTATAATTTTATAGTTTGATTGAACTCTGAGGGGTTTTTTTTAGGCAACTCCTTTGCACATTTCAGAGTCACCCAATTGAGAAACTTTTTATAGTACTCGAATGTCAACAGATGATTTGCAATGACCCGGAGAGAAAAGAATGTGTGATTGCGGTCATCTCAATCGATCAACGTGACGTTTCAATTGGATCGGAAAGCCATTAAGAGTTGATCGCTCATCGAAGAACTTACGTTTGTTCTATTCACGCCTAATTGAAACCAGTTTTAAGTTTTATTATCATAGCATCTAATTATCTATTACAATGGTAATTATTGTTGTCTTTTTACTCAAATAGAATATCTATTAAGTAATTAGTGATGATAAACATATCAAACAATTAATTCATTTATTTTGATACTATTTATTTGTTGATGTCAGTGCAGTGATAATTAGTGTTTCATTTTTACAGGAACCAGGACAGCTTAGCAAGGATCAGAAAAAACGTAAGTTGAATAACAATTTCAATTCAAGAAAAATAATTATAATGAACTGGACTTGAACTTTTAAATAATGATGACCTTTTCTTTATACATCAGAGCTTAAAACAGCTTTTGATGCATTCGACAAAGAGAAAAAGGGAGCCATCAGCACAAATGATGTACCAACTATTTTTGATATGATGGGTCTTGAAGTTGAAAATCAATCTGACATTACAAATGCAATATCTGAAGTAGATCTTTTCAGTAAGTAGATTATGTTAAAGAATAAATTGAAACCTTCTGAAGAATGGACTTATTGTTGGATAAAAATAGTTATTATAGAAAAGTGGAGATTTTAATGAAACGAATTAAGTCTTTCTAGGAAAAAATTGTTTGGCCTAATCAGATCTAAGACTTTCAGATCTAATTAAATCTTAATTATAAGGCTTATTATAACTAATGAGAGCTAATCTGATTTACTCAGACTTGTCTTAGCTAAGTAGATCTAAAAAAGTTTAGGTCTGGAATGTCAAACATATTAAAATATATTCTGATCTATTTTATTGAATGTTAATATTCAAAAATATTGACTTTAGCTTAGTTTGATGGTCTTGCCAATTAGTCCACCCTAGATCAATTAATGAATTAGACACTATTTTGAAGAAAACAAATGACTAAGCAATTTTCTTTATCTTCAGGTTCCGGAGAGTTGAAGTTTGATGATTTTTGCTCAGTAGCAGCTAGATTTATGGAAGAGGATGTAGATATTGAAGCATTAAAGTCAGAATTAAAAGAAGCATTCCGGCTTTACGATAGGGAAGGTAATGGATATATAACGACTGACTGCTTTAGAGAAATTCTATCTGAAATTGATGAAAACCTCACTGATGATGAGTTGGACATGATGATTGACGAGATTGACGCTGATGGCTCTGGAACCTTAGATTTTGAAGGTAAATTAAATTCATATTTATGTATGCAAGTTTTCTTATCAATTAATATTACAAATTTATTCATTTATTCTCCCAATGTCATCAAATATTCTAAAGTAAATATTAGTCTTTTAATTAGATTTTCTGAAATATTTTATAACTCAAGTTATAGCTTGTTTCTCAACTCCAAACTTTAAAACATTTTTACTTTTTTCAGAATTTGTTGAAGCGATGACGCATTAACGACTCTAGGATTTATAACAGACTGAAGAAAAATCACCAAAAAAATTCTAATAAACTATGCTCACAATGATTATTGTACTATTTTATTTGTAATAAAAAGTTTCAAAACAATACAAGAGTAAATATTTAAGGAATTTGATAGAAGTGAGTGATAAATCAATCATGTGATGCAATGACACATAAAAGTGTCAGATGGAATAACAATTCAACTTGAATCTGCATCCACCTGCATTCGATCAGAAAAATTCGGCAAGTTGGTTCATAAGAAGAAATAATTGATTAGATGTCAGATAAGATTTGAACTTACAGTGACATACATGACAATGCAAGTACAGGCATTTTTATCATCAACCATCTGGGGTTATAAAGTCCTTTAGCTTTCAAGCATCTTATGCAATTATTTTTCTTCAGTGTTGCCATTAATTACATCACTCTTCTCAAGTAATTCCCAGGAATTTTTATAGTTTAGTGTGTACAGACAAGAAGCAATATCTGTTAAAGCTATTAGAACACAGAAAAAGTTGCTTTTACTAATACGTATTTACTGAGCGACTATCCTTCCTCTATTTATTTTACTTAATGACATTTTTTGACTACTTTGCTAATGAATAAAACATCAAGTTCCTTGTTATAATTAGGGAAGTAAATTGACATAAATACCCATCATTTCATTCATTGCTTATAGGAAATTTAATGCAAAAAGGAAAAACTAATTGCTCAATAACAAAAAAAAATATCACAAATCTAGAACAAATTTTCTCACACTAATAGTAATTGAAGACCAGTTTATTTAATTGATTGCTTGCATATACTTCGATTTCAAATAAATTGCCTATTAATTTAGAGAAAAAATTGTTTACTAAAAATTGTACTCATTACGTTTTTAAATACTTTGATGATATAAATCAGCTTTTTATTTTTATATTGATGTATCAAGTGGTTTGAAATGTTTATACAAAAAAAAAAACAACGTTGAAGTGAATATTAATTGTTATAAAAATTTGAATTCACCAAAGAGATGGAAAATAAATAATTATGATAGAATTTTTTAAAATTGTGATTAGTATATAGTAAAATAATCTATCAAAAAGGAAGTATTGATGTGATATAGACGAATGATGAAACGACAAAAGTTTGACTTTTATTGCAAACAAAATTCAACCTCTCTACATGACGCTATTTATTATTCAAAAGTAACTCTAAAAACAATCAATAACATCCAAGTTTCAATATTTCAAAGGAAATGGATGAAAAACGATACAAAAATAACTGATACAGCTTGAACATTGTCATGTAGAGCAATAAATATGAATATCAAATCTTCTAGATACATCACTGACTAAAAACATTGACCAAGTGTTTCAATTTTGTTAGAAAATTATTTTTATTCATGTAAATTCTTGATAACAATTGCTAGATGATCATAAATTCCTTTCAATTCTTCTCCACCAAACTAGCACAGAGAACTTTGAAAGTTTCCTGAGGATTAAAATCGAATATCTAATGAGAATGATGATGTCCCTAACTTAATGCAAATTGTGCAACTCATCAACATGTTTCTTAATTATTGTAATTTGATCATAAAGTCATTAGGTGATCATTGCTTTTAGAAGACAGAAAGAATTGCACAGTTGGAAACTGAAATACAGATTTTGAGGATAATGTGTCACAACCTCAATCTTTCATCTTGCAAATAAAGAACATTTAGCATATCTAAAATCAGATGGACGTGAATCATTCATATATTATTATTTTTTTTTTACTTGTAAATTAGTAAAATGGATAACGTTTTTTTTAAATCTTACTACACAAAGAGAAATTTTTTACTGAATCACAGGACTGGTATTTAGCCTAGTAATGATGGAATGATGAACTGTTATTGATGATGAGTAGAGTTATATCTTTAGTTATCAAATTGAAGACTTGTTACAATTTATTTTTACTTACAATCAGATCTAGTAATAAATTACCTTCAGTATGCTGATTTATAATGAATACTTAAAATTAAGAGTATTCAAAAATTAATGTCCATTATCGTTTTTATTACTACTATGATTTATATTAAACAGTTGTATTATTCTTGGATGTCTTTGCTTCAAATAAAAATAATTTGTCTATTTATTATGATTAATATGTGATGTTAGAAATTAGTTATAATGATGTTTCTAAGTAATATGCTTGTCTAAATAAATGGATTGTCTATTATTATTTTATTTACATTGAACGAAAAATTGAATTTGCATCAAACCATGAACTTATTGGTTTCGAGCCAACCAAATGATTTATTATCCATGAACAATAAATTATTCTCATGCAATTTGTAATTATAAATACATTAAAATATGATTAAATTAACTTGGCCACTCTAGTGATTAATTCATGTTTATTTAAAATTTTCTAATTTTTAGTTCAAAGATAATTTGTCGTTCAAAAAAATATCTCAAAAATACAATAAGAAATTCCACTCAATGAAATCATTTCAGTGATTCAATTAGATTATTGTTGCTTGTGACTCTAGATTATATTTAAACAATGGTTAGATATTTTGATAACTAGCTCAACTAACAATATTTTTTGAAGCTTATAAATCCATTATTTTTCAATTTTAAAATAATGAAGTTCAGAATTGGGAATTAATTAAAATATGAGCATAATAATGCTTTGTTGGACTTTAATGTAGATAATTAATTTCGTAAATAAATTTATTTTCAATAATGAAAATAAAATTATCTGTTTATGTTTTAACAGAATAATTACATGAAATAAAATTCTGGTCTAGCTTAAAATATTCACCATATGTAGGGAACGAAATAAATACATGTTGATTTCCATTTTATTTTCGATCTCTACGGGTAGACTTATGTTAATGTTATTAAGTAATATAAATGGATGTAAATAAAGTATAAATTGCAACGAGTTAGGAAGAATCTGGGAGACGCACGCGCGTCCTCGAAAATTTTGAAAACCGCTAGACTAACATGCTGTACTGTTTCATGATTATTGCTGCCAGAAATTACTCGCGATTGCTATTAAAACCAACGCATTTACCTTCGCAATTCGCACTAATTCCCGGGCGTACTTTGCCACTTACTTGCTTATCCAATTTGCATATACATTAGTGTCCGGTATGGTAAGTTTTTTTTTTTTAGTTTTATTAAATTATAAAAACAAAAAGTATCTAATGTAGTAATAGATAACGTAATAAGTTGTATCATGTAATAAAAATTGAATTTTTTTTTCAAACAGGATGAATTGACCAAAGATCAAATTGCACGTGAGTTAATATTTGATTAATTAAAAGTAGTTTAGCTAAAATAAAAATTGATTAAAAAGAGTTGAACTATTTTTTTTTTCAGTGCTTAAGAAAGCGTTTGATGCTTTCGATCATGAAAAAAAAGGATGCATTGGTACAGATATGGTGGGAACTATTCTAACAATGTTGGGATATGAATTGAGTGAAAATACCCTGGCAGATATTATTAAGGAGGTTGATGAAGATGGTAGATATTACTGGATTCAATGCATTAATTATTCTTGAGAAAGTATAAGCGACATTAACGAATAAATTAATGGTGATGATCATTTATAGGATCGGGAGAGTTGGAATTTGAAGAATTTTGTACACTGGCAGCTCGATTCCTGGTGGAAGAAGATACTGAAGCAATGCAGCAAGAATTAAGAGAAGCCTTTCGTCTTTATGACAAGGAAGGAAATGGTTATATAACGACTGAAGTGTTTCGTGATATTCTTCATGAACTCGATGACAAATTAACTAATGAAGAACTTGACTTAATGATTGAGGAAATTGATGCTGATGGCTCTGGCACTCTTGACTTTGATGGTAAAATTTATTTTCAAATTGAACTCTAACTAAAAATAAAAAATAAGCTATTCTATTAAATCAAAGTTTATTTTTAATTATTTTTAATGATTGAGAAAAAATATTGATTTAAAAGTAATAGAATATGTAACGAGAATAATGAAAGGATTGATAAAGTCATTTACTTTCAAATGGTTTTATCACTTAATCATTCTCTTTTTTTCATTTGAAAATATTTCCAAGCATTTATACTCTTTTTCTAAGTCTTTCACTTGGAGATCTAAGTTATTTCGTTATTTATTTCATCATTTCTACTTTTTTTTAGTGTTTACAGTCAATAAAAAACAAGCTGAAAATATTCATTTTAATGATTAAAATTTATTGCATAAAAATAAAATGCAATTTGAAATGATTATGTTGGTCATAATAAAACTATAAATGTCTTTGAAAACAACAGTAAATTAAAAAAATATAAAAAATCATAAACATTTAATTTAGCATTAAATTATTGATAACTGCAGACATTCACTTAAATGACATTTCATTATATAATTTACATGAATTATTTTTCTTATGGTTCCAGAGTTTATGGAAGTGATGACAGGTGGTGATGACTAACACAATGGTTAATCTGGTTAAGGAGAAATTTTCAGCTGTCATTACATAAATTAACAAATGTACTACACACTGTGATTCGTTTAATTGAGTAAAAGAAGGTTTGGCACATCAATTTTCATTCGGTCTCCTTAAATGTTCGTTGAGCAATGTCAAGACTTGATAAGATGTGACGTGAATCAGATCCACATGTACTCATGAAGAGTTGTTAGCTCAAAGACGAGATAATGAGGATCAACCTTCGAAGGGAAAGTGCAAGTGTCACAACTTCCGTCAAATTAACGCTAAGACCATTCTTCACGTGGAATCGAATTCTTTTATTCGCACTGCTGTATGAATGATGGAATCAAGCAGGGTACCGACAAGTATTCATGAATATTTATGCAACGAATAACTCGAAAGTCCAAGCCTTCATTTCTTTTTTTTTTTTTTATTTACAAATATATTTTACTCAGTTTAACTTCAAGAGAGATGTATTTTTTAAGGTATAGAATTAAATTCAACGATGACTGAAAAATTTCAATAAAAAAGGTTTAAAAATAAATTATTTCGTTTTAACTTATTTATAAGATGATTTTAATTTTTTTTTATATAAAAAAAAACTCGTCTTAACACTGAATAATTTTATTTTATTGATTTTAGAGTGTTGATTTAAAAACATGTTTCACTGATTTATTATATTTTACTTGTTGAAGCAAAATCAGTTTTAAAAAGATAAAAAAAAATTGTAATTTTATTAATAAAATTAAATGCTACTATTATGGTTATATCAATCACTGAATTTTCAAAATATCGATTCATCATTCATTATTAAATGAGTGTGTTTAATATGACTCGAAACATTAATTTTTTTATCAAAAGAAAAATTGGACTCAATTTACTGATGGACGTAACCAATGTATCATTTCGAGATTACTGGTATGACACAAAAACTTGACATCCTGATACACATCAGTTCCAGGTCCCTTGGTGGGCATTCAAGGTGTGACCAAACCATGACAGCTGTCTACCTGCTAACTCTAAGATAATCTGGATTGATATGGCTCATTCCAAGATCTAAATTTAATACAAAACAGATCAAATTATTTAGAAATATCACATTCTAATGACAATGGTACTGTGTTGATTAAACTTCATCAAGGTAAGTATTGATAAACAACACAATACATCTATTATTTACTCATACCATCTCCTAATTAATTGATAATGCTCTTTATTCATTTGATTTGTTTAATAATTAAATATTGTTCAATAATTAAGAGACAAAGAGAAACAGGCTCTTATTGATAGCAATCAGATCAGTGAGTTAATTGTTTAGAACTTTTCAAACTCTTATTGTTTGAATTTTCTAAAGTAAGCAAAAGAGAATATTGGAGACATTCTCTTTTACAAAGAGAAGTAATAAAACTTTAGTTTTATACTGATTATTTCATAGCAAATAAGTATAAGATGAAAAATACAGTTTTCATTTGATCAGCTAGTTGAAACATTAGCATAATAAAATCGTTCAGCAATATCTCCATAAAAGTCTTGATATCTATGAATACCTATATGTACATATCTATGCATAAGTATCAAACTTCAATTGTATATACCAAAACTTTGTTTGACAATTTTGTGAAAATAGTTGATGTAAGTTTAGTCATGAGACCCCAACCCAATGAGAATTGTGATTGGCATGTATAGAGGTAATTTCAAGTTGACAAGATTTTGAATAAATTTGGACAATTCATTCTCAAATATTTGACTTTTGAAAGACAGTCGATTTACAATGTAGGTAAAGATATGTAAACTGTATATTTTTTTAGTGAGTTCAAATTCTGGTGCTCCTGAATTAACATATCTAAAAGTGGGAACACATCAATCAAAGACTTCAAAACTCTAGACAAAACTTTTGACTGTTCTACAAAAATATTATTCAAATTTCTATTGATCAATAAATTGAATAAAAGTAGATTAGTAGTTATATTTTAGACATAATAATGTCTGTATTGTCATCATCATCGGATTACTTCCATTGATTTGCTGATGTTTGTTTGATCATCAACGACATCAACAAAGAAAAAGACAATATCCATCATTGTCTGTAATAAATAGTAAATAATTTCCTTCAAGTTGCTGATGAAATAATTTAATACAGCTCAATAGCAGATGTAGAGCTGTCTTCAATACCGAACAATCCTTAGAAAGCTGAAAGACAAAAAAAAAAGAGCAGACTCTGATGGAAAAACTTTATTTTTAATGAAATTTATATTCTTTTTTTAATGAAAGGGAGATATTTCCAAACTAATGTAATTATAACATTTGTTTGATAATAGAAGTTATGGAATAATTGAATAATCAAGCAAGTTCCTTAATAATAATTTTCCTCCCATGATAATTGAGAAGTGAGAATTTCCAAATTTGGTATTGGAAGCAAGATAACATTGGTCAAGTAGCCATTCCCACGTTATTACAAAGTATAAAGTCTTGGTTAAATGTATAATCTGCTGTTCCAGATTCACTCACATCGTTTTTATACTTTTTAGATATAAATCAAAACAATTGTCTAGCAGCAGCAGCAGCAGCTTCTACTTAAGTAGTTTGAATCTCTTTCAATGAATCATTGCTAATGCTGTTGAAAAGTATACCCAAGACAAGTGTGTATATAATACATCTATAATATATTTGCTGAAGAAATAAAGTGTAGTAAGTAGCAGTTGGATTATATTCGTTGTCAGCCAGTCGTTCTTAACGTTCAGCTAATTATTATATCTAGTCTGCGACTTAGTCTGAGTCTTGGGGACTTTCTCCATCAATTAGGCATCTGAGCTTCGTTAGCTTATAGCATAGAAATAATGTGTAACCAGTACACATAGGTTTTGCCCATCAAATGCAATTATATGAACTAAAGCTTTCATATTCGTAAAAAAAAAATAAATATTTATTATAGTAATAAATCTATAGTTATATCAATTCTAACTGAGTAATAATGTTAAGATTTTTTCATCTCTCTTCTCATAGGCTTCATGTTTTTCCTAGTCCTATAATTTTTTAATTGCATTTCTTTCACTTTCCATCCGTATTTTTCATGTCAATAAAAAATAAAAAAAAAATTATATTATCTTATAAACACTTGTTAATTAATGTTGAGAACATTCCTACGAATTTCAACGGAAACATTATTTTAGTTGGAAAATACTAATTCCTAAGTGAGAAAGTTTATTTTAAATAACATAACTTGAAGAATAAGTGAATGTCTTGGGTTGAATGATACATAAAAACAGATCTTCATAAGTTTTTAGCTCCAACATTGGAAGACTTGTTAATAAAGTTCATGTATGGCTGAATCATAGATGAAGAATAAAAAAAATTGAAATTCATGGAGACAACAAGTTTGATAATTAAAGTATTTTATCAATGAAATAGAAAGTAAATTACAATTCACAAGTGATAATTAGTGGTGTAGATGAATGCAGTAACAATTTAATAGCGAAGAGTGTACTGTAATTACAACGTTTGTTCAACATAGACATGTAAATAGTGAATAAATATTTATTAATAAATTATGAGACTGAAAAATATTTTCTCGTCACTATTATCAGCTTATCATGAAGTATGTAATTTAAGATATGGGTCAGGAATTTTATAGAGACTAGAATTTTATGCTGAAAAGAACGGAGAATAATAATTAAATGAATTAATTTCACTTTAACTCACTGTGTGGAATTTATCCACATTACAATGTTGGAGATCATTGTCAACTTAGCACCAAGTGTACAACAATTAATTAATAAACTGTTAATTGATAGTTTCTACGATATTTTAGAGGAATATCGAATGGAATTGATTTATAGATTAAGGTTCAAAATATTCTAGTTTTAATGTGATAATGTAACAAAATTTATTTAAATTAATTACTAGTGCTATTATAATTACAATAATTACTATAAATTATATCATTATTGCTGATTTATCGATAATTATTCTGTATTGCCTTGTTAATGAAATATTTTATTGAAAATTGAATATGGTAATTTGATTGATCATTCTGTGGAACAATTATTTTCTATCCAGTAATGATGGTTTACATGAAATAATATTTTATCTATCAGGTATATTGTAATATTGCTACCCTATTACTACTATGGAACTATCTATTACATGGATAATAATTAAATAATCCTGGTTTCATTTTCTTCTCTGGACTGAAATTTAATAACCCGTATAAAAAAATTTGGTTCCCCAAACGTTGTGCATAACTTGTATGCTAATGATGTTACAGGATTGATCAAGGGCTTATATAAAAGATCTGGACGAAAGGAAGAAAGTCGATATAGATAAAATCATAATGGGAGCATAATTTATGCAAAAATTGAAGCAAGTTTCCGTTTTACCCCATTTTAGGAGTGAAATAATTGATTTTTTCAAATGTTTGACCTGATTTCGCATTTCTAGGCATTGAGACGAAGAGAATGAGTGGTCGAACTTGAAAATCGGACAACTTTGATTTTTCGACCCGAAAAAATGGCAAGTGGTACCCCTTTCCATTTTTTTCAGCCAAAAAATAAAAGTTCTCCGATTTTGATGATTGAGGGCTCATTCTCTTCCTCTTGATGCGTAGAAATGCGGAATCGGTGCACAGCTCAAAAAAATTTACTTTAACACCCTCAAAATGGGGTAAAACTGGATACACACTAAAAATCATCATCCCCTTGACTTTCAACCCTTGTAACTCATGAATAGACGACCCAATAATCATTTTTAGGGACGTTTTCGAAACCTTAGAGTCTGAGCTATCTGACGATATTCATAGATTCATCGAGAAAAATTTCTTTCACCCTTAAAATCGTTAAAATATAAAAAAAAATCACATTTTTTGAGGAGTTTGCCAACTATTTTGGCAATTTTGAGGATGAAAGAAATTTTTTATATGTTATTTATGGATACGTATCTTTAGCTTAGATTCTGAAGTTTCTAAACAGCTCTTAAGAATCATCATTAGATGACTTGCATGAAAGTTATAGAGGTCCAAAGTCAAAGCAAGGGTCAAAAATTATCTACGTTTCAACTTTGGATCTCTATACCTCGTAAAAAAATCATCAAACAATGATTTCTCAGAGATGTTTGGAAACTTCAGAATCTACGCTAAAGATACATATCCATAAAAAATCTGAAAAAAATTTCTTTCACCCTCAAAATTGCCAAAATAGTTGGCAAACTCCTCAAAAAATGTGATTTTTTTTTATATTTTAGCAATTTTAAGGGTGAAATAAATTTTTCTCGATAAATCTATGAATATCGTCAGATAGCTCAGACTCTAAGGTTTCGAAAACGTCCCTAAAAATGATTATTGGGTCGTCTATTCATGAGTTACAAGGGTTGAAAGTCAAGGGGATGATGATTTTTAGTGTGTATCCAGTTTTACCCCATTTTGAGGGTGTTAAAGTAAATTTTTTTGAGCTGTGCACCGATTCCGCATTTCTACGCATCAAGAGGAAGAGAATGAGCCCTCAATCAT